GATTATCTGGAAAGCTTGATGAAGCAAAAACAAAACAAAAATAAAATGAAAAACCTGAGCTACTAGGCTACTTCACTGTTATTTAGTAGTTACAAATACTTGGGCAATGTAGTTACCGTTCTAGTGTTTGTTTTCTCAAACATAAAATTTATTTGTACCTCATCCTAGCTCTTACATTGCCTCCTGATCCTAGGGGATGCGGACAATTTCAAAACCTTATTCAACAAATAGTTGATGTCTAGGGTAAAATTGTATGTTTGCTGGTGAGAAGAAATACCAAAGGAGTACAAGTCATAGACACAGGTTTTTGCCCTTTTAGAGCAAGAAATTTAAATAATGAAAGGGACTAGCTGTGAGTCCAGTTTCCAGTGGGAGCAACCTCTCCTTGGTTGGCCTTTATTATCAAGTACAGTTGTTCCAACTGCTATGTGTACACTCACTGTGGAATCTAGCAAATTATTAAACCACTATCATATGGTGGAAAATGCAGAATTCCATTTTAATTTTACCTTTGAGACAGAGTCTCACTCTGTCACCCAGGTTGGGGTGCAGTAACATTATCATAGCTTACTGCAACCTCAAACTCCTGAGCTCAAGCAATCCTCCTGCCTCAGCCTCCCAAGTAGCTGGGACCAAAGGAATGCATGTGCAGGCTGGTCTCAACCCTTGGCTTTAACGATCCTCCCTTATTGGCCTCTCAAAGTGCTGGGATCACAGGGTGACCTACCATGCCTGGCTTATTTCCTTTTTAAGGGGTTAAATGAAGAGAGCTAAATTTGGGTTTGGTACTGGGGTGCTTTCAGAGAGGATTCCCTTATCTCTCCCAGTGATGTTACCTAATCTCACCTGCACTGTGGCACCGATCACACCTTCCTTCCCGGTTCTAACATTACGAGAAATGGCCACTGGGCACACAGACCAATGAGCGCGTTTCTTCCCGCAGCGGGGCGGGGCCTCGGGCTTTGGCGTTCCGAGACCCGCCCCCCCGTACGTGGCGTGCGTGCGTGGCGCCGTCCGACGCGGCCCGATTTCTTCAGCGCTTGGCGCCCCCCGCCGGTAGCGGCGGTTCAATGCGACGGCGTGACTCGTGCGCCCGTCATGGAGTCGCAGAAAGAGGCGCGAACCTTCCCTGAGACCGCCGCACGGCCGCCGGGGGCCGCAAGTTCTCAGACGCCGGACGAGAAAGAGCAGCAGGAGGACGGCACAGCGCCGGCTGCGGCTGCCCTGGACACAGAGGCGGACATCGCTGGTGCCGACGGGCTGTGGGAACTGCCAGTGGAACCGGTGGAGCGGAGGCCCGAGTGCAGCCGCTGCAGGTGACCGCGGGGCCGGGGGCGGGGGGTGGGGGGTGCGGCCTGCGGCGGCCTTTCGAGCAGCCTATGGCGCCCCCTACCGGGGAGTCCGTGGCTCAGGCGCTCCGAGCTTGGGGTTGTGGGGCGAGCGGACCTTGAAATCGCTCTGATGGCTCCTAGTCAGAAGCCGTTTTTTTCCAGATTAGTGATTATTTAAGCTTACTTTCCACAAGACGTTGAGCTTGTCATGGGACAAGGAGATGTGGGTTCTGTTTCCAAGAAACTTGAGGGTCTGATAGGGGAGGTAAGGCCTAATGACAGTAATACTTGTAATAGACTTTCATGCTTTAGTGGTGTGGTCGTCTTACAATTTAAAAAAACATAAAATGAATTGGAGGAGAGACAAGGAAGGCAATTACTACACTTACTAATCTTGTATTCAGAATTTTAAATTCATTTAGAAGTATTTATTGATCGCCTGCTGTATGAAAAGCACGGTGCAGGGTCTGGGGAATGCAGCAATAATGCTGACATAGTCCTCGCCCTGACCGGGGCACTTACAGTCATAGGAGAACATTTATAAAACAAGCAAAAACAACTAAAATAACATTGATTGCTCACAGTTGCCTGATGCTTTAAGTACTTTTTAGGATTATCTCTGTGTAGCTGGTGTACTTCAGGCCTGTGAGATTTGCTTGCTCTGTTTATCTGATCTTATGCCCTTCAGATGCGCCACTTTCTTTAACTCCTGGGTATACAATTTTCCTGGTTACTAAAGTCCCCTTCTATCATCTCTCTCTCTTTCTGTTGCCCTTCACAGGTTTAATTACTAGTAGCTGCCTCCACTTCCTCATCTCAGAATCACTGTGCAGTTTGCTACCACATTCTACACTACCCTGAATTGGCTCTCACTACAGTCAGTAGTAACTGCATGAGATGAAATCTAGTGGATCCTTTTCTGTTTACTTTTGCTATGGCAGCATTGTATACTTGAGTACTCATTTCTTGAAACACTCTCCTTCTTTGATTCCCCTTTGATTCATCTAACTTCTCTATCTAAATCTTTCTTTCTCTCTCTCTCCTTTCTTTTTTTTGAGACAGAGTCTTACTCTGTCACCCTTGGTAGAGTGCTGTGGCATTATAGCTCACAGCAACCTCAAACTCCTGGGCTCAAGTGATCCTCTTGCCATAGCCTCCAGAGTAGCTGCACCATCATGCCTGGCTAGTTTATTCTATTTTTTTTTTTTTT